ATATCCCCTTCACCTTAACTGTCACCTCCAAATAGCAGGAATAGCGGAATAATGGAACATGTCCAAGAAGTAATTCAGAAGTCTCACTAGTTCTTGAATTGTAACAAGCCATTTAACTTCTCAGTGGTTTGATGCCTTTATGGGTCTGTCTCCCTAGTCATAAATTTCCATAAATAACAGAGCCACAGGATGAATAAAAGGAGAAGTTAAACATACATCTATCATATGATTCTGCCATTTCACTCCCAGGAATTGAAACAAGAAAAACAAAGACATATGTCTATGTAAAGACTTTGCATGGATGTTCACAGAAGATTTGTGATAATCAAAAATCAAGAACAACTCAATACCCATCACAAAGTGAACAGATAAACAATTGTGGTATATCCATGTAAAAGAACACTACTCAGCAATAAAAAGTAATGATTTGTTGATATATATAATACAATACAATGATGAATGTCAAAATAAGTATGCTGAATGAAAGAAGGTCAACAGAAAAGAGCATATAATGTGCAACTGAATTTATATTAAAGTCTATAAATTGCCAACAAAATATAGTGACAGAAAACCAGTAAGTGGTTTTCTGTGGAAGAGGCGTACAGTGAGCAGTGAGGAATTGGGAGGTACAGAATTCAAAGATGCAAAAAGGAATTTGGGGAGTGTTTATGACTTCATGGGAATATACATCTATCAAAATGCATCAAACTGTTCACTTTAAATATATGCAGTTCACCATATGTCAATTATACTTCAATAAAACTATTAAAAAGTAGAGAGAAAAGAGTCAATGAATCAGGCTTCATGTATACTTGGTCATATCCACCTTGAACGAACTGTTACTATTTATGATGGCGGAAAGTAGGATTTTATATGAATTTCCTCTGCAAGAATATGAGATATGGAATCCCAAATTATTTGCCCTGATGCAAAGCAACACAATCTACAGATTCTAAAGGAATCCCATATATACCTATCTGGACAGTGTAAATATTTACTAGCATTCCATGCAAGAATGAACTCTCTATGAACAGTCAAAGATTTTACTCGTTAAAAACACATAATCTCAAACTTGTACAGAAAGCATGTGTGAGTATGCATTCAACTTTGGAAATATTTTAATTGTTAATAAGGATAAAATTGATCTAATTGTAGAATTATTGGATTGAACCAAATGCTAATAATAACTAGTGTATATGGGTCTTAGGTCAATCTCTAGGTAACCATTTTGTGGACTTATTCAAAAAGTACACTAGTATATGCAATAACATATGTGTATAAATTAAATATTCCTATAAAAAGGATAAAATAGTAAGTTTTAACTACTACAATGAATGTTGAAGGCCTCAAATAATTTTCACTTTTATTCCTTGAGTCTGTATTTTCTTGATACTGAAAAATCATATGATCTGAACTTCTGTGCCCTTTGGGAACAGAATCAAGATGGACATAAAGTAAATGGATAGAAAACTCCCCTACATCAACTTTTATGATTTTCAGATGCTAGAACAAACCCACAGTTTTCTAATTCATTGAATAATTAAAAATAACATGGAATAAATAACTATGTAGAACTTAAATAGTCTGTGGAGGATATGCCCAGTCTCTGTGGGAACCAGTCAGTCCTACTTTGATGCAGTGAATCTGTAGGAGTAACCAAGCAAAGCACAGCCTTAACTCATAAAATAAGACAGTCATCGTTTAGCTGCTGTAGTTGGTCGGGTTATCCAACAAATTGATTATACTCAAAATGATAACCTGTGAATTAGGTCCAAATAACCCTAAAAACAATCAAACTTGTTTTTATGAGATTAGAAAAAAATAGAAGAGTCTAGAGACATTCCACTAGAATTTTCTGTGATAATGGAAATTTTCTGTGTTTGTGCTGGCCAGTAGGGTAGCCATAAGCCATATATGGATATTAATGCATATAATACAGTTAGTGAGACTAATGAACTGGATGTTTCATTTCATTTTTTTTTTTATTGTGATCTGGGTGAAAATTTACAGAGCAAATTTACTTTCCATACAGCAGTTCACACACACTTTGTTTCATGACATTGACAATATACCCAATGCAATAGCTCCCCTCCTACTTCCCCCTGATAGTTACCTCTTCCCTGTGTCCATCCCTCCATGCACTCTTGCCCCCTGAGCTGTCTCCCTGCGCATAAACAGCCCTTCTTTCTCCCATGACTCTTCTAAGGAGTTTATCTCTAACTATCTAACAGTGTTCCCTACCCTACCCTCCATCCCTGGTAACCAACAAAGAAAATTTCCTTCCATAGATAAACCTTTCCTTCACTTTTACAATAATGGACTAATACAATATTTATCCTTCTGTGATTGACTTATTTCACTCAGGGTAATGTCCTGCAAGTTTATCCTCATTTCATTTCATTTTAACTAATTTAAATTTAAATATAAATAGGCATACCTGGCTAGTGGTTTAAAACAACAAGCACTAATGTAGCTTATAAGTCTAGGAGTCAACCAGGAAGTTCTGCTGCTCTGGGCTGGACATGGCTCATC